TGACTGTCCTCTTTTTACATCATGCAATGTCCTTTCAAATTACATTTTTTATTTTATGGTTAATTTCTAATACAAAAAAAATATCAAAGCTCAAAAATATATATTAAATATTAGAGTTTACATCACAAAGTAGTTTAGGGTTAATTGCTAATTCACAAAAAATGACAGATTATCCAAAACTCAGCAATATATATGTATTCTAAATACAAATACAACAGTGGACCGACCTTTGTCTTTTTCTGATTTTAAGACCACATTATCCATTATAATGGTTATTTGTATTTAGAGAAATTAAATATCCTCCTACATTTTCTTCCTACTTATGTTCCTACCCATGTAAAATGGTGACATATGTCATATTTGGATAAGATTATCATTAATTTAGTACACTTGTCATCATTTCAAATGGGTAGGAGGATATGTAGGAAGAAAAGTAGGAGGATATTTAATTTCTCTCGTATTTAACATTAGCTCCAAAACCCAAATAAAGGGTACGATGGTCAGGTTTTGTCATTAAATTGGGAGAACCACTTTGCTGAAACGACAACATGGTCATTTTTTATAATGATCATTATTTGTCATTCAAATAGGAGAAACTGAATGGCAAGGTTAAATCCCAAATATAGTCGGAAAAAATGATTAAAAGTGCAAAAACGTAAATATGCGAGATCTGCAACAAAATCATAGAAAATCAAAGTCAGGAAATCAAATTCTAATGCATTTTACAGCAAAAGGGTACTATGGTAATTTTTCAGAAAAATTAACTCATTTGTAGGAATACTTCCTCATTACTCATTGATGAAGGATTGTTTTGGCTACCACATTTATTTGTTTTGGATGCTAGTGATAAAAACTAAGAAGATCTAGTTTCAATCTCCAGTAGCATTTATACACAAACTGATAAGCAATCCAATTGAAATGAAAATCAACTAATTAAATGTAGATATTGAAAAGAAAAAAACCGAAATCAAACTGATGGCACTGAATTTGAAAATGTTCCAAACCCTGGAAAGAATAAAAGAATAAGTAGAAGCTTTTGAGAATCCTTATGATTACTTTAACCATCTTCAGCTCTTATTAAACCAAAACCAATAAAGCTTGTTGATGTCTTTAAAACAGAACTGTCAAAACATTAAACTATCATCAAGCCTATATATACAATGCAAAAAAAATCAGTTATGAAATATAATCAATGAGAAAGAAACATGAATCTCCTATTCTCAATCAAAATTAAAATTCATTATCCTTTAATTCATCCAAAAAGAAAGCTATTAGAGCAAACAATCAATAAAGGTTCAAATTCGTTACCAAAAGCCGACAAATCATGATGCGACTACATAGCAGGAGATGGCATAAAGCATTTTGGTAAGATTTTAAAGCAGTTACACGTTTGGAGTCTCTATGTTAAGAAACCTTAATTAAAATAATGAATTAAAAAAGCTAAAGAGGAAGATTACTAACTTAAAATCACGATTAACAACTTCAAAGTGAAAGTCTTCAATTCTTCTAGGTCAACAGCGAATACAAAGAAGAAAAATTGAAGGTTAAAATCAATGGGTAAGGCAAACTATAAATGGAGAGATTAACAATAGGGTGATCTTGTAATCAAGACGAAAATCCCGGTCATTTGAAACCTGATTTCTTGGCATGATTTTGGAGAGTGTGAATTGTTTCCATCTTTCTACAACACCGTGAACAGGAGAAGATAGGGTTTTCAAATTAGTTGTAATCATTTTTTGATAAGCAATCCCTGGTTTGTTGCTCAAATATAAATTCAAAATATTATGCGAGATATCATAGGGTTGTCATACATCAAATTTCTTTAATTCAATTTTCTGAGCGGGAATTGATATAATAGATGACGCGTGTAATTTTTAGAATTTATGTAAAAAAATTGTAAATTAGGAGAAAATAACACGTGGACAAATGTATACTCTTTTATTAGAAGAGAGATTATAAACTCTAACATTTGACAAATGTTATTCTATTATACATAAGCGCACATCAAGCTCCAGTGTTTGCTACAGTGTGTACCACAATGTTTTGCTTTGACTTTTCTCCAGTTTCCTTCCTTCCCTGTTTCCCACCATTAGGGATGTTATTCGGGCCGAAACCGAACCGAACCAACCCGAACCCGAATAAACCGAGAACCGAATAAGGGTAATTGTTTGAACCAAAAACCAAACCAAATAAGCAATACGGGTTCGGTTCGGTTCGGGTTTTATTCAGTTCGGTTCAGTTTCGGCCCGAATAACCCAAATAACATGTAGAAGATGATTAATAACCTATTATGATTGTATAACCCGAATAACCCAAATAACATTTACAATGTGATTATAAATATTGTATTTTGTATGACTTTTGTAGCTTATGATTTCATAACAAATCTTTTAAAGAAACAAATTTGTTAATTAAAAATAATACAAAGTATATATAATTGTTTCAAATGTGTAAAAAGAGTTAGAATTTGTGTACTAAGAATATAAACACGGATAACACGGGTTAATTATTCTTGATTAAAATGTAAAATCCAAACACCAAAATCTTAAGATATAGTTATGAAGCAACATATTAAACACTAAACATTAAACATCCAAAACACCCAAAAATCTATATATATTTATATAAGTTAAACATTAAACATTCCACACCCAAATTAAAATATGAA